GACATGTAAGGAAATCTTCGGCCGCATGTTGCGCACACACGTTTGGACTGCATCAATTTCAAGCATAGGATTGGCTTGATGTGCGGCCAGATCTCTCCATCTTACGATGAATTGATTGACTGGCTCATCCGGCCCTGAGTAAATGTGAGAAGATCGATGGTCTGGACTTCTCGTTCAACCTTATAAAAGCACTTGTAAAATAGCTGCTCCATTTCCTCCCAAGTTTGGACTAAATTTGGAGGAAGCCGAGAGTATCACTTAAATGTCAGTCTGTCAAGAGTTTCAACGAACTGACGGAGAAGGAGTCTCCTATCAGCTGCTGTCTCCTGACATACCGAATAGAAGTGGGCAATGTGTTGGTGAGGGGAACTTGTGCCATTGAAGAGAGGGAACCTCCCCTTCTGGTAGTTGGGGGGAAATGGGAGCTGATCGATATAGGAGCGGTAGGGCTTGTAGTAAAGAGTCATACCCTACATGCTTGGGATCTACCTATCCCACAGGCTGTGGGTGACCATGGAGTCGATATCATCTTGGGAGACCTGACGTGGGGAGGAGTGGTCGTGCAAAGGAGGTGGTTGTCTCATGACCGGATCGACTGAGTTAGGAGAATTAACCTCCTAATGAGACAAATTCCCAGGTGGCCGGGTGTTCTCCATTAAATCAATCTTTTCCATTAAGGGGTGTGGGCCAGGGATGGTGGTCAACCTGGGTTCTTGCCTTGGCTTAAGGGAAAACGAGGGTTGAAGAACGTCATCACCAAAGGAAGTCTTGCCCCGAGCTCTTTTGTGGACTCTAGAGACAAGAGGGGTGTGAAGGTAGGACTGTAAGAGGGTACTCTTAGGGCTTGTTTAACAACTGGAAGCAAGTTCATGAACTGTAAATTGGAAGTTCCTGAAGAACTATAAATTAGAAGTTCTTGAAGAAGTTCTTGGTTTCTGTCTTTGATAACATCCCTGGGAAGTTAAGAAGTTCCTGGTTTCTGTATTTGATAACCTATTGAGAAGGTAAAAAGTTCATGGTTTCTTTGTTTGATAACCTCCTGAGAAGTTAAAGAAGAACCAGGTATCTGTATTGGATTAGCTTTACGTAATAGGCGAGATGTAAATGTTAAAATTGAGACCTAGATATTATTTATTTTTTATTAATTTGTAGAATATTATAAATACAATATCAATTGAAAGTAAAGTACAATATTATTTTTCTGTAATAACTTGAGCACTACTTACATTCACCACTGATGCATTCATATCCCAACCTAAAAAATATATGTCATTCACAATTCAAAAATATCCGTCATTCACAAGTCATGCATGTAACATTTGTGTTCTCTCTCTCTCT